CCTCAGCCTCCCAAAGGCGCGAGATTACAGGCTGAGCCACCGAGCCCGGCTCAGTAGACAACTTTTAGACCAGTCTCAGCATCTCTACTGTCCTCAAGGTTCTGTTTCTGACCCAGTTGTCCCATAGGCTGCTCCTACTCTCCACCCCCGCTGACTGAGCTTGACGTTTATCTGGGGCTCTATTTGAAAACACTATGTTCTCATCTCTCTAGCAGCAATCTCATAGGGCAATGCTGAAGAGTGGATTTCAACATGAAGGTTGGATTTAGGTTTTCATCAACCTAATCTCAACTGCTTTGTATCTTCCAGAAGTTATTCAAACTGTCTTGTCCACTATCAGCATTTTCCTTATTTTCCAGGGCTATTATGGGTTCATTCTTATTTTTATTATTCTTCTGTTATTTCAGTGGGATTTTTTTTAAAAAAGTAATAATTTGCCTTAGCACACAATTTTGAAGGAAAAACTCTTTTCTATTTTTCCTATAATTAATATGCACTATTAGTGTAATAGCGATCTAAGAAGGGATCGAAAAATAAGTAAATACATCTACCACTATGGCACAGTACTCCAACCTAATAAAGCTCATCCTGAAGTCTGTTAGTTCCTGGCATGACAGATCTCGAGAGAAAATGCCTTTGTTCTTGATCAAGTAAGTTTTCCCTGTATTATCTTAGGTTAAAAATAATTAATAGAATGATTCAGCAAATCTTGGACCATATAGTCTCATTCTATAAAACTCTCTAGATATTTTAATCCAAATTAAAACATAAACAGCCTGAAGAATGATTAATTTCCCTAGGTCCAAGGACAGTTTGACTCAACGAATTTAAATGTTGTTTATCTGATGTATATGTTGCTTTGTGGTGAAATTTCTTTGCCTTGCCAACCACACAATGTGGCAATTAAAATGCTGGGTTTTTAACAGTCTTGACCTATATGTGTGCTATTAATAAGTGCCTTGTTCCTAAGTACAATTCCATAATAAATTTACTGCTTGTACATGAAGAAAAACATAAATTAACTGAGCTACGAAGGGGTGGCTCTCGAAAGAAAGCCACAATAACTACATGACAGAAGCTCAATATCATTGTTTTTGTATTGTCCTTTGTATCTGAGGATGACATCAATATCATGCGTATGAATGAAGGGGGAAAAACGACATATTGTATGCATCTGTACAGTCCTCTGCAAAGATGTTTATGGAAACAGTACAAAGAACTTGTCATACAGGCAGTTGCCTCCTAAAGCTGTAAGCATTAAATACCACACCGAGGTAGGTCTTAACATCATTTTCATGGCTCACTTTGCTTCTTATACCCTCTCCCACTCGGCTTTGTCCACCACAGTTCAGACACACATGGTATTCAGAAGACTTCTCAGATTTTGCAATAAATGTTTACAATGAAATGGCAAGTCTCCCTTATTTGTGATCTTGAAATACTATTGCATGATTCAATAATTAAGCAATTAAAGAGATGAGGCCTACATAATAAATACTATTTATTATGAAATTATTTAAGGTGTTTATAAATTGTGGAGTTAAAACATTAAATAGAATTTGAAGATTGAATGCAAATAGAAAGTACGAAATACATGGAAACATATTTTCATTAAAATTAAGCTAGAAAAATGGATACCACCATTCTAGAAATAAGTATTCATGGAATAACTCAGAGAAACACTTATTTAGCTACTCAGTTTTGTGATTTAAAGTACCATAGTTCTTCGGTCTTTGTTGTGCCTTAGATACAATGAATTAATCATTTTCCTTACCTATTCTCATCACAGACAATAACTTTTTCTCAACCAAATAAATAAGGCAATTGGTTTTTAATAAATTATTTCTTTAATGATTCTGATATTGCTAATATTTTTATTGTCCCTTCCATAGCAATAAAAAGTTGCTATTAAACAATTTACACCATTGATATCATTTGAATACCTAGTTACAGTACCTGGAACTAAATTATTTTCATGTTGTGAGATGTTATATATTGTCTTTATAGTAAAATTATGATAAGCCATCATATTTCAAAACTTCTCCTGACACAATTTATTTGCCTAATTACTTTCAATAATTTTAAGTATTCAAGATATCATGAGTACTTACTGGTGCTCTTTTATAATCTAAAATAATCTTCTATTCCTATTACATAAGACTTTTATTATTATGCTTGAGACTTGACGCTTCCTACAATCTGGAATTTTCCTTACTCAACAGATATCCTTTCTAATTCAACGTATGAGCCTACATTTTAATCAAGATAATATCGTCATTGTCCCGTGAATATACCAAGCTCATTCGCATCATTCTTCTTCTATTCATTTTGCTTCCTAAAATATAACATCCTCTTCTCTTCTTGCCATCTGAATTCTAGTATTATGATCATTCAGAAGACAATACCTATATAATTGCTTAACTACTTGTAAAGACACCTCACATCAAAAAGATTAAACAGCCAAAATTTATAGTGTAACACAGCTAGAAGAAAATATATGTAACTATTTGAACACAGAATAAGATCTAAATATAAAGCCAAAGGAAGAATTTTTTTTAAAGATCAGTAGATCTCATGAAAACTTTTCCCACACTAAAAATAAACATTTGAGATCAAATAACAATAAACCGAACTCCTACACAAAAACCTGTATAGAAAGACAGCTTTTAAAGCCCCCCTCTCCAAATATTTCAGAGAACACCTGAAGGCTGTTTACATTCCTCAAAACAAAAATACTACATTAAAAACATGTCTTCAATAAGAATTTTCTTCAGGTTTATTTTTAGGATGTCTGCTTGTTTTCACTACTTAATTCCATACCCTCCCATTAGGTAGTTTAAAGGCCTGGCCTTCATTCACTTGTTCAACAAATGTTTTTATTGCACCCCAACCACCCGCCAGAAAGTGTGCTAGATTCTAAGAATATGCTGATGTGTAAAACAGGTACGGTCCCTTCCAGCACAGAACAGAAGCCTAGCGAAAGATACACTTTAATCAAGTAATCACACAAATTATAGTTTTTAAAAAAGGTACAGAGAACTATGACGGCATATAAAAGTGACTTTGCTTATTAAAGATGTGGGATACGTGTGTGACAGGAAAGACTAATCACATACAACTGTAAGCTCTTAGAACAGCAGGGGCTCCGTCTGATGCAGGTTTTATCCCTTTCTGCATCTCACACAGTAAGCCCTCTACATTTGCTATTTATTCCATTAAAATATTAGGCCTCCGTATTAACTAGCCTTCTTTTTTCAATGGCACACATGAACTCTGCTTTAGGATGATTGATACTTTAGGCTAGACACTTTGAAACAGTTTATACTTTTATTCTTATAGGGTCAACCAATTCCAAGGAATCTTCACCTAGGTTATGACTTCGTGATCCATGTTATCTGATTTAATGGCAGAATACTATTTAAACAGAAAGAAATGAAAAATTTATATTTCTTAAAAGTAATTATTGACATTTCACATACTAAAACAATGCAAAAAGTTTTAAGTTTTTTCCACTAACAGTACACATAGGTTGTAAATAATATGTTTTAAATGCACATATTTTACATTGTATATCCTGGAAGTTTATTTATTACTAGTTCACACATATCTTTGCATTGCTGGGAAGTATTTAGTGAACCAAAGTCAACACTGTCTTCTTCAAAGTGACCTAATGTGTTACTTTCCAGGACATTAAGTTCTAGTTCTGGCAAATTAGAAGGCAGATAAGAACTCACTTGAGATGCCCATGATAACTTGCTTTTTTCTGAATATTTGCAGTCAGTCCTTGTTTTAAGTTTAGCAGAGATGTCTTGACCTCTCTTTGTAACTTTAGAATTATGCATACTGCTTTGATCTATCTGGTTTTCTTTTTCTTCAGTCCAATGTGATGAAGACAAATCACTGGTAGAGATACTAGGTACCTCCTCCAAACTTCTGTCCTGAGTTTTCAAAACACGAGATCTATATGAGTGCACTGGTGATCCAGCTGAAAAAGGTGGGCTAAAAATATAACTCTCCTCACTACTATTTTTCTTTATGGACAATCTTGCTTCACTAGACTTACTTGTGTATTGACTGTGTTTTGCATTTTCTGCCTCTGAACTGCTATCATGAGCTTGCAAACTTCTGCTGGTGTCCTCTGTGGCACAGAAATCTTCAGAATAGCAAGGACTGGTGAAGTCATCTGAATATTTGAGTTCTGAGATATTTTCATAGTAATTATTTTTACCTGGTATATTCTCACTTACATCAGCAAAGTCATCATCTCTGGTTTTAGTCTGCTTATTATCTATTTCTTTAACTGTTACAAATTTGTCAACAACAGCGTCCTGTTTGAAAACACAAAGATTTTGGGCTTTCGTTTCTGCTTTTCCTCCCAAAGTATCTGTATGGGTAAATCTTTCTGGAATAATGGAATTTGCAGGACTCACAGTTTCTACTAATGAATCATTAAGGGTTCTCTTTTTACCACAATCAACTGTCTTTTTTTCAACTGCACATTGTTTTACTTCTTTAGTTATGCTGGGATCATCAAAAACTCCACTAATTTGCCGTGAGGTATCACTACTTTCAGCAAAAGATGAATCGGAATCTAAATCTCCATTCTCAGGCAATTGTGGCTTCTGACTTTGCTCTGCAAAGCTTAACATTTTAACTTTGGATGATGGAATTCCAAGTCCTGTACTCAAAATTTTTGCTTGCGTTTTTCTATACTGTTCTCTCTTTTCATGTACCACCAACATACCAGGATTTGTTTGCTTTAAACGAAGCCTTAGTGTATTTGTTAGGCCATAAAGCAGCCTCCCTTTTGGAACTCTCTTTTGGAGGGCTCCACTGTTTTTCTCAGAACATTTACTTTTCGTACAGTTTTTAACTTGGTTCTTTTTATGTTGAAGACTCGCCGACTTTTCCCGTTCCCCCACAGAAAGCTTATCCTTCTTACGTTCGGACTGACACGTGAACTTGGAAGATTCTGGTCCCTTCTTATCCTCAGTTCTGTACAACCAGGCTAAGTGAGGATGTATATGAGTGGGACTTGCGACGGGCTGGTCATATAACAGGGACAACTCAACTAACAAAGCATTCAGCAAAGGCAGCTGCCTTATTGTACCAGTTCTATTTGGTTCCGTTTGAGGGTGACACGTGGGACTAGCTGCTCCCATATCCTGACTAGGTGGAGAATTGATAGGCACTGGAGGCCTCTCAGGAATCGCAGAATTTCTATGTTTTAGAGAACTTCCGTGGGCTGGGGAACCTGTGAGCCTCTTTTCTGGGGACGCACCATCCAATTCTTCTTCTCCGTTCATCTGAGGCTCAATGGTGATCTTCCCCGGTGCAGGAGGCGGTTTCTCTTGGGTCGAGCGCGTGTAATACAGAGGAGGAGGGCAGAAAGTATTGGCTTCCAGGTCTGACTCTGTGACATCCTCCCGGATCGGGCTAACGTCCCTGCTACCGCCGGCCCGTGCCCAAGTCACAGACCCGGTTTTGCCACGCTCCACAGAACCCACGTTCCCAGCGTGGGCCCGACAGCGGGAAACTGCTTCCTCCACATCCTCCTGCCCCTGGGGGGCTGCCAACGCC